TTACTTCTTCCAACACCTCGTAAGCTTCTCAAGGATTTATGCGTTAAATAAGAAGTAGTATTTAAAGTGTGCATTTTTAAGTAAAAAGTCACTTAAGCATTTTTTTTGTGTGTGCAACAATTTCTCAAAAGAAAAAAAATTAAAGGAAATTCAGCAGAACGTCGCAGTGCCAACATCTCAGTGCCTTAGCGCTCGAACGTTGCGGTGCCAAAACACCTGAAGGAGAATATTTTGTGCAAAGATATATATATTTGCGTTGTAGCCCTAACACTTCAACATTGCAACGCCATTAACCCATCATCACAGTGTTGTAATTCCGATGTCATAACATTGTGAAGAAGAAATTTTAGTGTTCAAGACAGAGAGATTGGCGCTACAACATTAAAAGTTTAGTGCCAAAGCTGTGAAACTTCCATGTTGTAGTGCCAAATTATCCCAAGAATCACGATAATCTTAGCATGGATAGTTTCACACATGATGCACCATGATGATTCATACATATCGTTGCAATGCTATAACTATTCAGCGGGGTAGTTATATTTGAGTTTTGCATCACCACACTTTCTGTGCTGTAGTATTACGAGCAATTAGGAAGTTATTTGTGTATGAAGTAGGATTAGAAAGCTGATTTTCTAGTAGGGGAGACTTTTCTGTCATAATTTTCTTTCATTTTTCAATTGAATTAGGGAGTGTGAGTGAGCGGGTTTGTAAAGAAAATTTGGTGCAAGCATTTGAAAGAAAGACAATTTTGTAGCTTGTTACTTGGTTTTGTCCTTCTTACTTGGCTTTTATAGTTTTTATTCTATATTTAAATAAAGGTTGTGATTGTTATTTTATTAAATAGGTATTTTAGTGGTTGATTTCTTGTTTTGAATTTATAATTTGATGGTGGTAATGTGTGCATTGTTAGATTAGGTCTATGCTTGTATTTTGCCAATGATTATTTCTATTCTCCTCATGTTTCATTTAATTGTGATTTGGCCAATTATATTTTAAAGTTCAGTGTGAAGTATGTTGATTAGAGTAGATATACTGCTAGTTATGACTTGCTAGGATTCTAATGTGCTTGATAGAGACAAGGAGTTAGGTTGGCTCTTATTCATAATAAAATTTTTATTGAATATTTATAAAATACAAAACTTAACATAATTAAGATACCCACTGATTCCTCAAGGGAATGAAACTCTTAGCACTTTATTACTTGAATGGATGTGCACTTGCATATAACTATTTTAGCCGGTAAAGTTTTTGAGCTCTGTTATTGGAGAATAAACAAGTTTCATAATAAAGTATGTAACATTTATACATGAGCATAGAGATCTACTTGCCCAACACTTGTTTATTTTATCTGATTGATTGATTATTAACATATATATTACTTTATTTTTGTGCATTGGATGCAACTATAAATTTGTATAACCTATTGGGCCATTTGCACATCTTTTGTTATATTTATATAACTGGGGCAAAGGAAAAATACTGGTGGAGTGAGGTCATGGTTTTAATCTTAGAAGTACTTTTCTGTTGTAGATAGATTATTTTATAACTATAGAATAAACATATTGCATTGCAATTAAGAAATTCATGATTATTCTATATAAATGTTATAATATAGGGGTTATGTTCAGTGTTGGATGTTAAATAAATATTTTGTGGGGCTAACATTAATTTCATACTTACTGAGGGAAGCAATGTCTGCTAAATGCTTTTTTATTTTTTTCACTATTTTTTGACTGGGAGTTCATCAATGCAAACTTCAACATTTTTGTCTTGTTGGCATCGGAAGATCTTTTTCATCAATCTTTGATAGGTTGTGACAACATTTCTTTTTCGCCGAAGGGCATGATTTCTGAAGCAGAAACTTTCAAGATTTAGTGATGAAACTAATTTTCGCCTCGTCTTTTTAGAAAGCACTTTAATTTAGTAGTATCCGGAGAAGGCACCGAGGAAGCTTTAGCCAAGAGAAGCTAACTATCGCAACTCAGGAAGCTCTCATGGCTGATATGCATCGTGTGATCCACCTCCTTCATATGCTTTTCTCGTCGTTGCAGCTCCCCCTTGGTCTTCTTCGACACTGAGTTCACACCCAACTCTGCCCAGTCGAGCGCTACTCTCTGTTTAAATTGAACACCGACGAGATTCGCCCCATTCAGGTCGGCAATACTCTCAGTGACAGCGGCACCTCCACCGCACGCCACTTGGTAGTTCAAGCTCTGCGAATGCGAACTCTGCTACCGCCCTCACGCTCCCGGCTCAATTGCCCTGTTCGAGTTTTCTGCGATTAATCTTTTACCGCGGAGCTCGTCGGCGACTTCTCTGAGTTGTGAGGTGTTTCTGAGGATGAAGAATATATTTTTTGGTCTGGGGAATGATGGCGAGGAGAGGAAAATGCCCTCTGAGGGGCGTATCTTTTTGGTTTAAGGTTGAAAACAATTCTGTTAATGATGTAGTCGACTATTACCAAAATTAACCATCAATGTCGTGATTCCATGGGGAAGTAATTAATAAAATCCACCACTCAAAGGGTAGAAGGCCATGGTGACATGATGAATTGTAGTTGCAAGCTAGGTTGTCGAGAACATTACAAAGGAATTGGCAACTCTTGCATCTCTTGTTATATGTTATGTTGTCAACCCTTCATAAATCAGTCTCAATCATATCTGCTATGTTGTTAGTAATCAGTCTCAAATCACTTATCATCAGTTAAGTGACTTTGATTTAGGATGTCGTAATTTCTATCCGTCGATGTTTCATATTATATCAAAATTTATAAATTAAAATTTGATGTCCTGGGTACTCATCTTAGAGTGTTAGATCTATGTGGGGACCGGATATAAAAAAATTAAAGTTATAATATAAAAGAAAGAATCACAATATAAAAAAATTATCTTTGCAGAAGGATATGATGTACAACCTCTTGTTAGTTGGTTTCAAGTAACTCTCTATATCTTTCATTTTCCTTGGTCTAATAAGTACGTATTTTTTAACCACATACATATTACAATTTTTAGACTAGATTAAGGCTTCGTTTGGGACGGCTTTTTTACTGCTTTCTAAAACGGAGTTTTAGTACAAAATTTTTTATTTTTGTAGTAAAACTCCGTTTTATAAAGCAATAAAAAAGCCGTCCCAAACGAAGCCTAAATTTTCATAGATCTTGAAGCTTCCACCATTATATGGAAACTTTCTAGCTTGATGTCGAGTGTATGTGACAACACAAAATGAGTTGCGAAGAGGTCAATCAAAGTTGTCTTCATAGTTGGATGGGGTCTCCACGATTTATTGGCTTCTTGATGAGTACTTTGACAATATAACAAATTTAGGTAACGTGATTATGGTCATTATTGTAAATGAAATTTTTAGTTATCATAAGTGTTGAGATCCTTTTGCTTGGGAGTATATCACTCATAGAAGTCCTTTTGAATTATTATCATAGTTAAAACAATGGGTAAGATCAAAGGAGGGAGAAGGATATCTCTAAATCCCTTTGAAGGAGAAAGTGCAACTCTCTTTTGGATTGGTAGATGAGGTTGGCAATACACCCTATTTTAATAATGAAATGTTTGGATATCACTCTCCCTCTAATGAAATGTTCAAGAAAGGTTTGTAGATCATTTGATCATCCAATTGGTTTTAAAAACATTCTAGGTACAGTTGAAGTTGTTGATTTGGACCACGTTTTGAATTGTTGGGTTAGTTTCATCGAGATTTTCAGTTTAGTAATAAATTTGTTGAAACAAAAAATTTTTCAATTGAATATTTTCTCGAGATTCATTGCTCGGTCATATTTTTTTTATAACTTATCATATAGTAAAAAGTAATTTACATCAAGTAATAAATTTAACAATCCTAAGATGATATGATAATTCCTCATGCAATTTCTAAAACTCATAATATATATTTTCAAAATTTATAAATTAAAATTTTACTCAATATAAACGGTATTTTCTCTTAAGGCACAACATATTTATGATATATGGTTTTATTTCATAAATAATTAAATAAAAAAGATATTTTTATTAAAATATTAAATATTATTGATAAGTTAAAAATTGTCTCTTTAACTTCAATTTACATTAAGAAAGTAAAAATAAAGAAATAAGTTAAAAACGTTTTAAAAAAATATAAATTATTTTAACTTTTTTTTTTCATTTTTATAACATTTATTAATTTTTTATCGATATATATAAGTGTTAATTTATTTGTGTATAACATTAATTACTTTATAGTCTATTTAATTTTAAAAAGCAACTAAAATATTCTCAACTGGCAACAGACATCGATAAGAATGTCCTATTTATATTTTTTTAAAATTAAATTTCACCGCACAAATTGAAGTTAAAGAGAACCCTAAATCTAAATCCTAATTTTAACAATTTAATTAAAAAAAATCCAAATTTCACTGCATAAATTTGTCAAAGTCTGAACGGCACAACAAATTTATGATATATGTTTTTATTTCGTAAATAATTAAATAAAAAGATATTTTTTATTAAAATATTAGATTTGTCTCTTTAACTTCAATTTACATTAAGAAAGTAAAAATAAAGAAATAAGTAAAAATGTTTTTAAAAAATAAAAATTTTCTTAACTTTTTTTCATTTTTATAAAATTTGTTAAATTTTTATCAATAAATATAAGTGTTAATTTATTTGTGTGTAAGTTTAATTACTTTATAGTCTATTTAATTTTAAAAAGCACTAAAATATTCTCAACTGGCAACAGACATCGATAAGAATGTCCTTATTTAGATTTTTTCAAAAATTAAATTTCACCGCACAAATTGAAGTTAAAGAGAACCGTAATTTGTAAATCCTAATTTTAACAAATCAATTAAAAAAATCAACTTTCACCGCATAAATTTAACAAATTCTGAACGGCTCATTCCAAATTAAAAAAATAATAATAACTGTTAATAAAATATATATATACCATTCTACGGCAACTCAGAACTCATTCGACATTTTTACTGCTTCCAAAAATTGCGCAAGAAATCTCTCATGGCTGCTCTTCATCACGTCGATATTCGAAACTTCTACATCGAATCGGCCTCCTTCATCCAATTTTCTCGTCGTTGCCGCTCCCCCTTCGTCTTCTTCGACACTGAGTTCACACTCAGCTGCATTTTCCGACACTCTAAGCATCACACGCAGCTCTCCCCTACCGAGCGCTACTCTGTCCTTAAACTGAATTCCAACGTCATCCGCCCCACTCAAGTCGGCATAACTGTCAGCGACGGCGGCACCTCCTCCGCCACTTGGCAGTTCGAACTCCAAGACTTCGACCTCCGCAGCCACAGCCATGCTCCCGGCACAATCTCCCTTCTCGAGTCATCTGGGATAAATCTTTCCCGGAATCGACAGGTTGGCATCCCCTCCACCTGGCTCGCCCGCCTTCTGCTTGATGCGGGCCTCGTCGGTGACTTCTCCAAAGCGACATGGGTAGCTTTCCACGGATGCTACGATTTCGTAATCTTGTTCAAAGCTCTATTTCAGCTGACGACGAACATGCGGGTGATGCTGCCAGAGACCATGGAGGAGTTCATGGCGCTGACAAAATGGTTTTTTGGTGGCCGCATATATGATGTGAAGTGCTTGATAAGAAGATGTGATGGGCTTTACGGGGGACTGGAGAAGGTGGCAGAGAAGCTAAACGTGAAGCGTGCGGTGGGGAAAGCACATCAGGCGGGATCTGATAGTTTGCTTACTTGCCAGGTGTTTCTGAGGATGAAGACGATTTATTTCAGTCTTGGTGATGATGGAAAGGAAAGGAAAATGCCTTATAAAGGGCTTATTTTTGGACTTAACAATTGATGATATGATGATGATATGTCCTATGATGACAATTTTTTTACAGAACATATTCATTTATAAAGGTTCTCAATGTGGAACATTGTTGATATGTAATAATTCTGAAAATTAAAAGAATTTTTCTTGTTGATTGTTTACATTTTATATTACACTCTTCATTTTTGAACGCAAAATGAAATTTTCATACGGTGGCATATCCATATAAAAATCTGATTATTTTGGCCTATAATTTCATTTGAGACAATTTTCTTACTATTTTTTAAAATAATTTTTTAGCACAAATAAAAATTTTTAACTTAAAAATTTTTATTCTAAAAAATTGCTTTATGAAGCAATAAAAATGCTATTCCAAATGAAGTCAAAATTTGATTAGGATAAAATTATATACATTAGATTGAGATTACTGTAAATCTTTTATGTCATATAATGGAGCAGTAATCTTAATATACAGTTAACTCATAAAAAATTAACAATATTGAAATGTACGTTACGTAATTGTTTTTTATATTAAGGTATTACCAATTAATGTTTTTTTATCTTAAAATTAAGTATTTAAAAATTCTAAATATTTTAAAAAGTTAATAATAAGCCCATAAAGATAGCTTAAATTTTCGCCCATTGAAATCCTAAAATATTTTTTTTTGGAAAACTACCTGAAATCTCAAACGCCTCTCTCTCTCTCTCCCTCTCTCTATCTCCTCTAATTTGGCCGCTCTTTTAGTTGTAATAAATGCTAAGGGCTAACAGATTCTCCCTTCTGGCAAACCGAAAAAAAAGGGTTCAAATTTCAATCTCTCTCTCTCTCTCTCTCTCTCTCTCTCTCTCTCTCTCTCTCAGCTGCAATTTTAAGGCAAATTAAAACCTCAAATTAACTTTTTGGAGGATCGCGCCACGCAAGTTGGAAGGCGAACCGGGCTATATTTGGGGCTCGAGCTCGGTATTTGACAGTTGAGCTCGACTTGAACAACACCTAACTTGAGCTCAACTCGGCTCGTTTGCACCACTAATCCTATACCTGTGGGGTTAGTAGCTAGTAGGTTTGTCAAGTGATTAGTTACACCGCAAAGCACCTTCTAAGGAGGATGGTAGCAAGTAAAAACCCCGTTTCAAATAAAAAAAGTTTAAGAATGAAAAAAAAATTGTAAGAGAAACAACTGGCCTAAATGATATTATGGGAGAGCGAATAAACATATGACATACACAGACAAGCCAGATAGAATTAGCTCCATTACTTAGATACAAATGATATCAACATATTTTTACATAATTTTTTAACTTCTTGAAAAAAAGAAGGAACCTCATAAAATCTAAAATGTAGATTGAAATCATAAAACTTAAGCTAGGAATCTGGACATGCTCATGTATCATGCCTATCTTGTTCTTCAGCTTAAACATATGACAACTCGAATATTACTAGGGTTCATCTTAAATTCCATGGCTAACACGACAAAAACAATAACAACATTTTATGGGGTTGCACTTCATTTCATAGTTGTTGAGGGAAGTAAAGATTTAATTAGGCTGACTAAAAGTTTTTTGTGGCCACTTTTTTATTAAGGAACTAATCCATTGAAGCTTCAAGATTTTTCCCTTTTGACTTTTCCATCAGTCTATTATAAGTTTTGTTAGCATTTTTACTGTTGAAGGCTATGACCTTGTGGCAGAAACATCCAATGTCACTGAAGAAATTTTTATTTTCTCATCCTCTTTTAGGTGCATTTGGGTTTAGTGGTATCTTGGGAATCCATCAAGGAAGTTCATCCTATAGAATTTAACAAGTAAATTGGCAAATGCATCAGCCTTCATGAAGTCAACATGCAATCCCTAACTGCCATTAGCCTTTTTTCCATGTTGACATTGGAAAGACATTCAAGGTATTAACCTTACCAAATGAATCCAATTTTGTATAAATGTTCAAAAAAGGTTTGTAGATTGTTTGATCATCTAATTAGTTTCCAAAGAGTTCTAGCTATGTACGGTTCAAGTTGTTGGGTTAATCTCATTGAAGCTAATATGTCGTTCTTCATCAAAATATTCCTTTGTCATTGTATTTGTGAATGCTCAGAATATCTCTTGTATATTCTACTCATTCACGGTATCAAAGATTTTTACCCCTATCCCATATGAATAAATCCTCCTTAACACTCTTTCCTAACTATAAATACCCAACCAGGTTCATCCACAATAAAGCCAATAGTAGCGACTCCAAAATCCATAATATCACTGACAATACTATTCCCTAGATCTCACCAAACATAATATCATGCCACATGCATGAATCCCACTTTGCAGCCATATGTTTCCATTTTACTTAAGTCAGATTGAAATTAACCAGATTTCCCATGAGGTTAGTGTCAATGTTTAAAAATCTTGGGTTCTTACTTCTTATGAGCGCAAGCACTCATAGTTAATTACCCCTCTTAGCACGTAAAAGAGAACTCTCGATTAAGGATGAATATATTTTAAGTAATTTAGTCTCAATTATGTGGAAGATGGAGGTAAACCCGATCAAGATCCCATGGTTCCGTCGTTTCGGATATACTGTAGATTTAATTCTACCAATCATTGACCGTAGTGTCCAGGGAATCGGATTAGCAGCCATGGGTTGCCTCCTCTCAGGGATCACGAGTAGATAGAAGTAGTTAAATGTGGGCTTTAGTTTTGATTTTTTTTATTTGGGTTTTGGGGTTTACATCTATTAGAATACCCAAAAATTAATTTGGTGTGAGATTTATGACTTCATTTAGAAATAACCCAGGAGTTTAGTTTGGAGTGGGTCTTGTGGCTTCTTTAGGAAGTAACCTAGGTATTTAGATTTAGGTTGGAACTTATGATCTTTATAGAAAGTAGCCTGAAGATTTGATTTAGGTTGGGACTTATGACTTTAATAGAAAGTAGCCCGGAGATTTAATTTAGAATTAGGGCTTATTACTTTATTTATGAGTTGCCCAAGGATGGGTCTTACAACCTAACTCTACAGTAAGGCTACCCATAAGTTTTAAATTTGATTGTTTAGATAGGACTTAAGGCTTCCCTTAAGAAGTAGCCTAAAAAGCAGGTCTTACAACTTAATCCTTTTTAGACTAAGATGCCCGTAGGTTTAAATTTCATTAGTTGGGGTTTATGATCATTGTAATTTATTTAAAAATTCTCTTAAAATGTGGGACTTTACGACTTTCGTAGAAAGTAGACCGTTGGTGGGTCTTACAACCTACTCCTATAGACTAGGATGCCCAAAAGTTTAAATTTGGCTTGAATAGGATTTGGATTAGGTCTTAGTGCTTCCTTAGAAGTTGCCTAATTATGGGTCTTACGACCTAGCACTTCAAGCTAAGTGCTCTGAGTTGTGGGTCTTACAACTTAGTCCTTTAGACTAGGATGCATGGGTGAGGGGTCTAGGGATGTGTTATTACATAAATATTTCCCTCAGAGGTCGGACTTACGGCTTTTATTAGAAGTTTCCAAGGCTTTAATTGGGGGTTAGGAGTTAAGTCAATTTTACCTTAAACATTTCCCTAAGACCGAGCTTACTGCTTTCCTACAACCAAATTCTTATAAATAAGACTGCCCAGGCTTTGAGTTTGATTATGTGTTTGATGAGCGAACACTTGTGTTTTGAGATGTTTGGCACTTACGTTAGTGTTTTAGTTGTTTAGAGTTCGTAGTTTTTTTCATACTATAGTAGTTTACTTCTCTACTCATGTTTTTCAACATCATTACTCTACTAGCCTTTTTGTACTTGGCTTTTTTTTACTTTCAGTACCTTGTTCTCTCTATAGTAAGTAAATTTATTATTTTTAGCATTAATTTGAATTATTTATGATGCACTAATTCTTATTTTTCTTATTTGCAGGTACGTGGTACCTGCAGCTGTTCAGGGAGTTTGCAATTAGGAGCTCGCAGCCACTGTAGAGTGTTGAGAGTTTCATTTTGTGTTGTGGTTGGAATGTTGAGTTGAAGGTTGTTCTATTTAGAGAGTTGTAATTTAAGGGGTTTAGAGAGATTTCTGTACAGCGTTGAGAGTTTGAGAACTTTGTATATATCGATTAGTGGAACACTCCTTCTTTTCTTTATTGCTTTTTTATTTTAAGATTTCTCATTTGATTAATTAAATAATTAACTAATAAATGAATTTTAAATTTCATTACTCTTAAAAAATTTTGAATAACTCTCATATTTTAAAACTTTTAAAATTTAAAATTCTCGTATTTAAGGTGCTCTCACATTTTAAAATATGTTGATTTCAAATGCCCCTTATATTTTTTTCTTTAAAAATAATCAATCAATTAATTTTCATTAACTTTGTTTAATTTAAAATTTTTTAATTGATTAATCAAAGATTCAAGTTTCATTCTCTATAATTACTCAAAAAAAGTTATGTAATTTTTTCCTCAAAATTTCGGCATCCTTCCGGCGTCTCCTCCCCACCAAGGGAGAAATTGGGACGGTACTACCATAATTTCTTCCTGCCCGGACCTAAGGTCGACGGTCTAGGTTCTTTGATTTTAAACCATCTCACCAGGATCTAAGATCGATTGCATGAGGTCTTCAATTAGGAACCATCCTGGCCGGATCTAAGATACGACGGCCAGGAGTATTCAATTTTAAAATCATCTGCCCGGATTGAAAATCAACGGTGCAGGTCTTCGAATTTAAACCATCCTGGCCTGACCTATGGTACAATAGCTCGAGGTCATTTATGCTTCTTCGAAAATTTTATTTTCTTCTTATTTATTTATTTATTTATTATACATAATATAAGAGAGACATAAAGAAAATTTAGGTCTAGTCTGTTCAAGCATTTGGATCCGGTCGGAGAATGCACATGCGTTAAATCTTGGCAATAAGGAAATCCTTTGGTTTGGTGGATTTATGGGATTTGGATGAAGAAGCACGCGAAGGGTAGAAAGTTAAGACCATAGAGGAGTCGAAGTCGCACTGCCTCGCAGGAACCGAAGAAGTATCATTTGCAATTTTATACCTCCTGCGAAGCAAACGAAGTC